TGTTTACCCCCCCTGACATTGATTTGCGCACAAACCCCCCCCCAAAATTGGACTCGCCGACCCCCCCCCCATAAGAATGGGCCCTTTTCACCCCCCCAAGTAGTGTTATTACAAAAAACCCCCCCACTATATAAGCCTTTTAGAATCCCCCCCATGAGCGAAATAGCTGGAATACCCCCCCAAATGAAGCAAAATCCCACTGCCCCCCCAATGAGAGCAAAACGTGGCAACCCCCCCAGACAGGAGTTTAGTGACTCACCCCCCCATTCAGAGAGCGAACTGAATCCCCCCCCACSGAAAAAAGGCGACAGTGCCCCCCCCAATTCTGAGGATAATCTCAGTATACATGCTGAAAACGATTTGGATGTCGCCCCCCCCATCATAATGCTCACCAAGCACCCCCCCGCCACCGGCCGAAAAAAGGGRGAAACTCCCGATGTTGATGATGAAAGCACCCCCCCACAGGAKCTTGCTAGTCCGTTCCCCCCCGATGAAGCTACCGGCGAAAAACCCCCCCAAGAGCTGGCGGAAATAGCCCCCCCCCCTTGGGAAAAGACCCTGACATCCCCCCCCATGAAAACGTTTGTAGATAAACCCCCCCCACCAGAAAACTGCACAGGCACCCCCCCGTCTAAGGTAAACACCGAAATCCCCCCCCAGTTGAACAATAAAAAGCGCCCCCCCCATTTCAACCTCTCAAACACGCCCCCCCCTATACGTAAGATAATTTTTGCCCCCCCCCAAACTACTAATGCTTTACTTCCCCCCCCCATGGGGGCAAAGTTTACGGCCCCCCCTAGTCGCAGCTCAAGTTGAATCCCCCCCTATTCATAACACTCGTAATGACCCCCCCAGATGAAATGTGGTATTTATACCCCCCCAGGGACTCCTAATTGCATGTTCCCCCCCTAAAMACGTGCAGGGATTGGTCCCCCCCCTGAAATCGGTTAATTTCACTCCTTCCTGCTCAGTATCACGGTCAGACGGACTTTGGTGAACTTATTTTCTTGATTTCCCCCCCTGGCCTTCGTACGACCCAAACCCCCCCCGTACAATATCCATAAGTGCCTCCCCCCCGCGGAGAGGAGGGGCAGGAACCCCCCCCACAGAAACAGCAGTAGAAACCCCCCCCCGAACCGGGAGCACAACCTCAGCCCCCCCCCGCGCCAAACGGGAATGAGGCCCCCCCGGTAATATGTCTGGCGAATTACCCCCCCTTAGTTTGGGAGCTTACGAGACCCCCCCCTTTAACAGGTTATAGGAGGGCCCCCCCGCATTGGAGAGCGAGTTTTCACCCCCCCAACATGTGTTAAAGTGAGTTTCCCCCCCATAGAGACTGAGTGAGTTTTCCCCCCCCCAACATGTGTTAAANAAGTAAAAGGAGAGGTGGCTCTGTTGAAGAAATCTGTGGAAGAGATGACGAAGCTAATTAAGCGTGGCGGGCTTGCTGGCCAAGGCGTTTGATTATGCAAATCGACCGGAATCGGAGTTTAATAAGTACGACCCATTAAAAATTCTGTAGACACTCTAGAACACGGCCAGAGACACGAAACACGAGAAACGCGAGTATTACCATCTCGCGTACCAAAGTGCTCTGAATAAGATGGATATTCGGTACGAGCACTGACTCTGAGGCTTTTGGGAAATAAGGATCACCAAAAGGTTTTTTTTAGGGCAGTCKCAATGGTTGAGAAGGCGATGGTAAAGAATTTAAGGTGGGATCGTCAGATTACACCTTACAGGGCCAGCCAGGGGGGTACAAGGTTCCCCGAAGATGCTATTAATGTAATAAACCAGGCCAACTGTGGGCCAAATGCTTGGCAAGGAAAGCTGCGGAGAAGGGTCAGGGGCCGTCATTTGGGCCCGGAAAACTCCAATAATGACAAGAAATGATAGTAATAGGGAAAATGATAATGACATGTGAGTGCATACGTATAGGCAGATCCATGGAGTTTGTAGTTGAGGTTTGAATAAACCATGCTAACRAGTAATGAGTGTCGTGTCTAATCGTTATTGAGGCAGGGTCATTGGGGAAATTGATAGTCTTGAAAACAGGGCCTGCTTAAAAACCCTCCCGGTCATACTGGGTCGAGACTGCCTTTTCTCTACTGACCTGTGTTGCGGGATATCTTTAAAATGAGTAGATGGTTATTTACATTTGCTATTTGTCTTGACAGAACACAATAACCCGGGAATGGGAAAGAGACGCTGGTGGGTTTGATAACGAAGTGGCTAAAAGGATACTACGTTGCGATATCCAGTGGGTAGATTGGAAGGGAAATCTCGCAACGGTCGGTAGAGGAAAGACAGAAAAACTTGCGGAACAAAGGGTTCAGAAAGGGGAGATCATTGGAGATGTGAGAGTTTGAMTTTCGAGWCCTAAATCAAGTCATAGTGGGAGAAATCACAACCATGTCGAGAGCCGGTCTGATTTTGCTTGTTTCACTAGGATTGGTAGAATTGGGATTGAGGAATGGGGAGTTTATTTGAGGGGMTTTTGAGGATAGAACACAAACAGTGCATAGACGTGGCTGACCAATATTTTTGCCCATACCTCCATTACAGCTGAACATGAATGCGAGTGTTATTGAATAGAATACTATTCATAACACTCGTAATGATATGCAAAGATGACATGTGGTATTTATAACCCCCAAGGGACTCCTAATTGCATGTTTTGGGAATAAACACGTGCAGGGATAGGTTATAAAATTGAAATCGGTTAATTTCACTCCTTCCTGCTCAGTATYACGGTCAGACGGACTTTGGTGRACGGCCCTCCCAGCCCGCCCCGTTTGGGTCGTACTCAGGCCAAATGACCGCTCTAGCCAAGCTGTCCCAGCTTGGCTGAGACCCCGCTGACCAATATTTTTGCCCATACCTCCATTACAGCTGAGCATGAATGCGAGTGTTATTGAATAGAATACTATGCTAAGTCACATACACACTCACTTATCACAACTGAGACGTGAGCAAATCAAGCCTGTTTTGAAAGCAGAATATAGTGCTATCTGCGCAGCCGATATACCGGACAGTCAATACCTATTTGGCGATGACTTAGCCAAACAGCTCCGTGATGATAAAGAAGCAAGCAAAGTTAGTAAAGTGGTATCTACTTCCACTTATAAAGGGGCTTCCAAGGGTCATTCCCACACATCTGCTTCTTACAAAAGCTACAACAACTATAAGAGTAAAAAAGATTTTTTTATGGAAAGGCCACAACCGATCTTACAAAAAGAAAAAAAACAAACAGTGGAGAGGAAGTAATGGCCAAACTATTGCAAATTAAAACAAACGTAAGTCTGTTTCAGGATTTTTTGCCTGTCCTTGTGGGACACTTCACTGACCTTTGCCAAGAATTTAAGGCTGGGCAGATAGGAGCATGTTTTGCAGCTTGGAAGGAATTGACGAAGGATGGAATACTGCTATAATATGTGCGAGGCACAAAAATTGAACTTGTCGAGGAACCAATGCAAAACAGACTACYTGCACCCTCTTTCACGAATAGTGAAAATAATATTATAGAACGGGAAATTTCAAAATTGTTAGATAAAGGAGTAATAGAGAAAGTGTCAAACAAGGACGGACAAATATTGTCACTCACAGGTTAATATTAAATTTAAAGAAATTTAATGAATCTGTTAGCTACCATCATTTCAAGATGGATTCTCTATCTACAATAACAAAACTTATAACACGGCAATGCTATATGTCATCTATCGACCTGAAGGACGCGCACTATTCAGTCCCTGTCAGTGTCGAGCATAGGAAGTTCCTGTCTGCACAAGCAAGGGCACATATCAGTGGCATATTTAGATGATATCTACCTACAAGGCAAAACTTTCGAAGTAATTCTGTTGTGCCTTTTTCTGTTTTTGTATTTGTCGTTTTAGTCATTTTGTAAGTCTTTGTTTTCTCTTGTGTCTATAGTTCGAACCGCTAGTCGAACCGCTAGTCGCTGTAAAGAAGTGAAAGGTCGAAATAAATAAATTAGCGAGTACGAATACTGGGAGTTCAACCCTTGTATATACCTCTAAACCCTAACAGTGCGTTATACTATGCGAAACCGTTTAAATCTCATAAACCACTAGACACAGAGAACTTTGGAACTGTAGTACTCAAGTCCACATCAGCTACTAACACTTGTACCTAACTACATTGTACCTATATGTTTTTTTTTAAGACAAATAAATTTGGTCTTGTTTATATGCTGTTTGTGCTACAGGTCTTTGAAATCTCATGTGACTCCGTAGACTGATGACATGATAGAATTGTTAATTAAACGAGACTTACCTGTAAGTTGAAGTTTGATTGAGATTCTAACATGTCATCATTCACATGCCCTCCCCTCCCTGCCCTTCTCCTTCATTCCTTGTACTGTGTCACTCACTTTGAAGACTGATTGGTAATGCACATGCGCATCTCATGTGACTCCTTCGTTCCGGACTGATGGCATGTTAGAATCTCAATCAAACTTCAACTTATAGAAGTCTCGTTNAACTAGAAGAAGCCGTTACGTATAGTCAAGACTGTAGGAGAGTCTTCATTTTAATTAACTTGCGAAATAATATGTTTTCATGCTGAACTGCAATCGCATAAATAGTTGAACAGGCTTAAACAAACATAGTTTAATCAATTAATTTAATCCAGTCGTTCGTTTGCTTGAATTTTTGTTTGTTCGTTTTTTTGTTTACATCATTATTTCTTTTCTTTTTTTGTATAATTATGAGTTATGTATTTACCAACCCATTTAACTGGTTGTCGGTTGTAGCTTAGTTCTGTTGGCGCTTAAAGATAAGGGTCGTTAAGTACTTTCTGAATCCTTTTCCTTAGGAGATGTGAAGCCAACACAGGGGATGTGCCTATTATTGACATTGATCCGATGGATACGCCAGGTTAATGAACCTTTTCTTGTTATCAACACCTTGATTTAGCACATACACAAGTTATCATTTATTTCGTTTTTCAAACATATGCTGTTGAAACATTTTGTGTATTTTAATCATTCACACGACGACGCAAATATTTCAAACGCTAGAGGGACAACGCCCACGCCATCTTTCCATTACGCGTTTTTATATTTTTGAGCATATCTTGGTCTTTTTCTGTTTAAATTGTCACTGACATTCCAATGTTATATTATTATTATTCTGATAGTTGACTATCAAGAAATGTTTTCAAAAATCGAAAACCAAACAAAGATGTTCGTGGGTCTGGACCTCCTGAAAGACCAGTTCCTCAAGTTTGCAAAAACAACCATTCTCCATGAGAAGAGGAAGCAGCTGGGATACAAAATGCAGGACGTGTGTAAAAACATGCACTTTGTCTTTCAAGGAAACCCTGGAACGGGGAAAACTACATTCGCTAGAAAGGTGGCAGGTAACGAGCTAATCTAAGCTTTCATTCATGACAATGTATATCTGGTATATGTGCTCAACTGTTTGAGTGCAACGCAACGACTGCACGACTTTCTTTAGTTTATAATATACAATGTTGCGAGACAAGTTGTGCTATTTTGCTGCACGTATTACCGTTCCTTTACAACTGAATGGCAACTTTATAGTTTTCGCGAAGTACATACTGCTATGTTCTACCTGTGATCATACATCTGTAAAGATGCTGATATAGTAATAAACCATCATACCGATGCTAACAGGCAAGACTTTCGAAAAGTACTCACATTGTGTCATATTAATATGCTTTAGATCTCCTTTACACACTAAAGCGAATAAAGAAAAAGAAGGTGGTGGAGGTGCAGAGGGGTGACCTGGTGGGGCAATTTCTGGGATCTACCGAGGCCAAATGTGAAGCAGTAATAAAATCCGCTAGAGGAGGGGTCTTATTTATTGACGAGGCCTACCGTTTGGCGTCCCGTAGCGAATCAGACTACGGGAGAATTGCAATCGATCAGCTGATGTCCTCTATGGAAGGAGGTAACCCGGTGATGATTTTCGCCGGGTACAAAATAGAAATGAGTGTGTTTGTTAAGGCAAACCCGGGACTAAGGTCACGGATTCGCTATTTCTTTGACTTTCCAGACTACTCCCTAGACGAACTGGATGAAATAATGAGAAACAAAATTGCAAGTAATGGATACCTATACGAGGGACGGCGGCTTGCTGAGATATTAAAAGAGCACACGTCTGAAGACATCAGGCAGCAGCNCTTATAGTCGAAAACGTCCTTAACTTTAATGTTTGTACAATCTTAAAAATATTTTCATCCCTATATATAATAATGAATATGTGGAGTTTTATTTCGAAACTATCCAGTGAGTTTAAAAATAGAATTTTGAATGCAAAGGACATTTTGTTGTCTCATGTCGCCTGATTTCAAAGAGTAGATGAAGTTGAGTGGGCAAAATTCCCAAAGTAGATATTGCAGATAACTCGTGATTAAAAAGAACGTAGGGCGCCATTGAAAAATGTCAAATATCAAATTGATTTCATGGTTAAGAAAAAGCATTATTGTGTTTCAGTTCATATTTAGTTTGAGGACTAGTTTAGTCCTATTTAATGGACCTCTTCAGCATAAGTTTGTAAATTATTTTAAGCTAAAGAGGTGCATTAAATAGAACTGAATCAGTTGTAGGCGTTTGTGGATTCACGGACTGTGACAGGCTGTAAGGACACATTTTTATGACTTATTGGCAATAAATGTCATTGAAAACTTGAGTGAATTTTGTGTATCACAAAGGTTTTTTTAAAATATCGTCGTATGAAAAGGTTTGTTTTCTATCAAAAAGGTTTGTGTTGTATCAAAAAGGTTTTGTCCCATCAAAGAAGTGTTGTTTTTTCTATTAAAAAGGTTTTTGTCCTATCAGAAACGTTGTTTTTCTATCAAAAAAAGTTTTCTTTTTCGTATCAAAGAGGTATTTGTCTGTATCAAAAGGGTTTTTTTCATATCAAACCTTTTTTTAATCAAAAAGGTTTTTTCGTATCAAAAAGGTTTTTTATGTAACAAGAATGATTTTTTGGATCAAAAAGGTTTTTTTCGCATCAAAAAGGTTTTTATTTGTATCCAAAAGGTTTTTATTTGTATCCAAAAGGTTTTTGTTGTATCAATTCGTATCAAAAAGGGTTTTTTCGTATCAAAAAGGTTTTTTTCGTATAAAAAAGGTTTTTTATGTATCAAAAAGGTTTTTTATGTCTCAAAAAGGGTCAGTGTAACGTTCCCTAATTCAATTTTTTATATTACTTTTCAAATCACTAAATTCAAAAATAGTCCGTGTAACGTTCCACAGTTTATTTTTCAATTTTCTGTTTGTTATTAAATACGAAAAAATTGTCATTTTTTATGATTTCTTTTACTTTAATTTGAAATCGTGAATTGAATATAGATTTTCGTTTTTTTTGTCAATCAAATTCTATTTTTCAATTTTCAATTTCAAAATTGAAAAATGAATTTAGTTTTCTAGCGTTCCAATTCGTTCGTTTGCTTG